ACTTGTTTTCACTCCTGTCAAAAATTAAATATGGAGCTACACTGATGGAAAACCTATATTAGGACTACTGAATGACAACACCATCAAACTGTGAACTACCAAAGCATTTGTTCAAGTTTATTCAATCTTGTTCAAAACAGTTGCAGATTTTGCTTTCACACTCAAACTCACACAAACACCTAAATAACTGCTCTAAAATAGTGGTCTCTTCCTCTGTACAATAAAAACGATACTATTTAAAAACTTCATGGTATCACTGTACAGTACAGGCGCCACTAGGCAGGAAGTCCTGGACGTAGGTAGCCACAGCTTTAGAGAGGTAAGTCATGGTGCCAAAGCGACCGCTGGGTGCAGTATCATATAGGAGCCGGCAGATTCCCGTAGAGAAATCCTTTTCTAAAATACTGTCCTCTGCACCAAAATCCTTCTGCAGCAGCGAGAGAAAGGAAATTACTTAACATTTGATGATAATATATATACAAAGTGAAATCATGTTATTTGAAACATTTCACAGTTAAATACCCATACCTGGTCCTTGAAGAACAAGTCATTGGCAATGTGAACAATCTTCTCTATGTGGATGATGCTGCCAACGCTTTGAATGTCCACATCAGCCAGCATTGTAAGTACCAGGATCCCTTCGACCAGCAGCTGCCTATATTCAGGCTGAGGCACACGGTTCAGCACCCTTTCCACATGTACCGCAAACTTAATCTCACCCGGGGTCATCTGGAGAGGGAGAGATAAAGCGGTTTACAGAAAGCAATGAGAGGAACTTGTGAAATGATTTTTAAAACTTTAATTGGTCCTAGACCTCTCTTGTGGTAGAAGATGGGAGCACAAAGCCTTCTATTGAAAGGCCATGACACTGTGGGCAAAAAGACAAACAAACAATAAAATTAATATATTCCACTATTTTGCATAAAAATATTTTGCTATGCGTTTTACAATCTATTTCATGTTATTGACATACTGTTTCCTCTCAAATTCTTCTAACCTTCTGCAGGATCTTCCAGACTTTCTGATAGAAGCCTACAGGAACTCTGTTGAGCGCACCATCAAGCCTTCTTCTGCGCAGCCACTGCCCCTGCCGGCTGTCCCGCGACGCACCAACACTGATTGAGCTGTCAGATGCATCAATTGAAGGCATCCGGTACCTCTGTAAGTCACAAATTAGCACAGATCAACAATCTGTGAAACTGCTTGGTTAGTGGTATGACATACTAGGGGCACACCTTTAAAGAACAACAGGGATCGTAAAAGTCATTCAAGACCTGAACAGTGTATTTGTATATTTAAACATTATTCAAGAAACATTTTCTTCAAGACAAAAGAAAATTAAAATCTACTTCACAAAAACATTGATCTGGTGATTGGGAAGGCATCTGACTTCATTCTGGTGTTTACTGACACCAAGTTTGACTTGGCTCAATACCATGGTTAAGGGCAGTAACATCCTGGGAACATCATTAAAGAAAGGTGGTGGTAACGTGGAGCATCTAGTTTATTATAATAACTCTGTATTTCTTGGCCATAGAGTGCTGCAGAGATGACATATTTTTGTAGGTCAAGCCAGAATATCACCCTGGTTCCCTTAACATCCATTGGCTTTTGTATTATTGCAGAAAATAAGCTCTGTGACCAACAAAAGTT